ACTAAAGTGCCCAAGCCATGCAGTGGTAGACTAAAGTGCCCAAGCCATGCAGTGGTAGACTAAAGTGCCCAAACCATGCAGTTGTAGACTAAAGTGCCCAAACCATGCAGTGGGACTTAAGAGCCCAAGCCATGCAGTGGTAGACTAAAATGCCCAAGCCATGCAATGGTAAACTAAAGTGCCCAAACAATGCGGTGGTAGACTAAAATGCCCAAGCCTTGCAGCGCTAGACTAAAATGCCCAAGCTATGCAGTGGGACTTAAGAGCCCAAGCCATGCAGTGGTAGACTAAAATGCCCAAGCCATGCAATGGTAAACTAAAGTGCCCAAACAATGCGTTGGTAGACTAAAGTGCCCAAGCCATGCAGTGGTAGACTAAAATGCCCAAGCCTTGAAGCGCTAGACTAAAATGCCCAAGCTAGCAGTAGTAGACAAAAGTGACCAAACCATGAAGTGCTACACTATGGTTCCCAATCCATGCAGTCGTAGACTGGTTTGTCCACACCATGCAGTAGTAGACTAAAGTGTCCAAACCATGCAGTTGTAGACTGAAATGTCCATACCATGCAGTTGTAGATTGAAATGTCCACACCATGCAGTTGTAGACTAAAGTGTCCACACCATGCAGTTGTAGACTAAAGTGCCCGAACTGTGCAGTGGTAGACTAACGTGCCCAAACCATGCAGTGTGACTTAAGAACCCAAGCCATGCAGTGGTAGACTAAAATGCCCAAGCCATGCAGTGGTAGAATAAAATGCCCAAGCCTTGCAGTGCTAGACTAAAGTGCCCAAGCTATGCAGTAGTAGACTAAAGTGCCCAAACCATGCAGTGGTAAACTAAAGTGCCCAAACCATGCAGTGGTAGACTAAAGTGCCCAAACCATGCAGTGGGACTTAAGAGCCCAAGCCATGCAGTGGTAGACTAAAATGCCTAAGCCATGCAATGGTAAACTAAAGTGCCCAAACAATGCAGTGGTAGACTAAAGTGCCCAAACCATGCAGTGGGACTTAAGAGCCCAAGCCATGCAGTGGTAGACTAAAATGCCCAAGCCTTGCAGCGCTAGACTAAAATGCCCAAGCTATGCAGTAGTAGACAAAAGTGCCCAAACCATGAAGTGCTACACTATGGTGCCCAATCCATGCAGTGGTAGACTGGTTTGTCCACACCATGCAGTTGTAGACTAAAGTGTCCACACCATGCAGTTGTAGACTAAAGTGTCCACACCTTGCAGTTGTAGACTAAAATGTCCATACCATGCAGTAGTAGACTGAAATGTCCACACCATGCAGTAGTAGACTGAAATGTCCACACCATGCAGTTGTAGACTGAAATGTCCACACCATGCAGTGGTAGACTGAAGTGTCCACACCATGCAGTTGTAGACTAAAGTGTCCATACCATGCAGTTGTAGACTAAAGTGCCCACACCATGCATTTGTAGACTTAAGTGTCCATACCATGCAGTTGTAGACTAAAGTGTCCACACCATGTAGTTGTAGACTAAAGTGTCCATACCATGCAGTTGTAGACTAAAGTGTCCACACCATGCAGTTGTAGACTAAAGTGTCCATACCATACATTTGTAGACTAAAGTGTCCATACCATGCAGTAGTAAAAAATAAAATGAGTAAAACAGAGTATGGTTAAACCTGAAAAATTAAACGCAACTAAACAGCGAACGTGTCGGCAGAAAGCCTTCGTCAGCGAACAAAACAACAGAAAAAACGTTATAAAAATAAGAAATAGCACTTAGCTGGTAAGTAGTATCTGTGGGCAGCAATAGAAGTGTGGCAGAAGGAAAATGAGTGAGAGTTTAAATAAGCAGCGGCGAAAAAAAGGGGGGAGAAAAAAGTTCACTGTCATAGGTCAGAACGTGGAGGGGCGGAGCTAGGGTCAAGCTGTGAACAGAGAAATAACATTAATCCCATCTGGCGTCAAAGTGCCGTAAGTCAGGATAAGTCTGTGTTCCAAATTGACCAGGCTGGCGGTGTTAGTGCTAGCCACAATCGCACTTATTGAAAAGTCCGTCTTGCCCTGGTGGTCGCTACTATTGAAGTGTTTGGAGTGTTTTCGCCGCTGCTTATTTAAACTCTCACTCATTTTCCTTCTGCCACACTTCTATTGCTAGCCACAGATACTACTTACCAGCTAAGTGCTGTTTCTTATTTTTATAACGTTTTTTCTGTTGTTTTGTTCGCTGACGAAGGCTTTCTGCCGACACGTTCGCTGTTTTGTTGCGTTTAATTTTTCAGGTTTAACCATACTCTCTTTTACTCATTTTATTTTGTACTAACCTGATTGCAGTCTCTCCCCTTATTACCCCCATGCAATAGTAGACTGAAATGTCCACACCATGCAGTGGTAGACTGAAGTGTCATCGCCATGCAGTTGTAGACTAAAGTGTCCACACCATGCAGTTGTATACTAAAGTGTCCATACAATGCAGTTGTAGACTAAAGTGTCCACACCATGCAGTAGTAGACTGAAATTTCCACACCATGCAATTGTAGACTGAAGTGTCATCGCCATGCAGTGGCCTACTTGAGTGTCCAAGCAGCCCACCAGCTAGAGTATTGCTGTCCAGGGACGTAACAAGTTCATGCAGTAATGTAACAATATCATCCAGTGACATAACAATGTCTTTAATGTTTTTTTCAAAAAATGGATGGAGTCAATTATTTTATGTGTACTCTTTCTGTCAATCATTTTAATGTCTCTACAATTTATGGTAGTCGCTTTACATTTGGTGGAAGTATTTTTACATTTTGTTGAAGTCTCTTTACATTTTGTGGATGTCTCTCTACATTTTGTAGAAGTCTCTAGACAGTTTGTAGAAGTCTCTCTACATTTTTTGGAAGCCTCTTTACATTTTGTTGAAGTTCTCTCTACATTTTGTGGAAGTTTCTTTATATTTTGTGGAAGTCTCTCTTTATTTTGTAGAAGTCTCTTTACAATTTGTGGAATTATCTTTACATATTGTGTAAGTCTCTTTACACTTTGGGGAATTCTCTTTTTATTTTATTGAATTCACTCTAAATTTTGTTGAAGTCTCCTCACATTTTGTAGGAATCTCTCTACATTTTGTAGAATTCTCTTCACAAACTTTGGAAGTCTCTTAACGTTTTGTTGAAGTCTCTTTACATTTATAGAAGTCTCTCTACATTTTGTAAAAGTCAGTTTAGATTTTGTGAAATTGTCTTTACATTTTGTTGAAGTCTCTTGACATTTTGTGAAATTATCTCTACATGTTGTCGAAGTCTCTTTACATTTACATTTTGTGTAAGTCTCTCTACATTTTGTGGAAATCTCTCTAAATTTTGTTGAAGTCTCTTTACATTTTGTGAAGTCTCTCTACATTTTATAGAAGTCACTCTACATTTTGTGGAAATATCTTCACAATTTTTGGAAGTCTATTTACATTTCTTGGAAGTCTCTTCACACTATTTGGACGTCTCTTTACATTTGGTGGAAGTCTCTTTACATTTGGTGGAAGTTTCTTTACATTTGGTGGAAGTTTCTTTACATTTGGTGGAAGTTTCTTTACATTTGGTGGAAGTCTAGTTGCGTTTATTTATCAGACTATTATGAATTTAAAAAAAAAAGATCAAATAAAAGATATACTTATATATACATATAAAATAATTTAAAAAATACAACAATGAAATGGGGTTTTGGGAGACATCTCTATTTGGAAACTTGGCTTGTTGTTTTGTTGTTTTTTTGTTTTTTGTTTTTTTTTAACACATCATTTTTTTGACATGTTGGGTTTGGGAAGTTTAGGAGACATTTCAGTGTGGAACAATTTGAATTTTGGAAGATGACATCGGAGGTTTGTCGTAGTATAATAGTAGACATGTCTGGATGACATCGGCTGCTTTGTATTAAGACATAAAAACGTTTTCTTTCAGCCTAATCGTACCGGCCATCTATTATTTCGTGTCTTGGGAATTTGGAGTTGAGTTTGATCAAACAGATTGAATTCTCTCTGTCTTTTTGTGCACAAGCTGATTGAATATTTCCTCCGGGCGCCCAGCATTTTGAGTGACTTTTGGAGCCCCCCCCCCCCCCCCCCCCCCCCCTNTATAACAGGCCTACGATAGTGGGATGTGGTCTATAACAGGCCTACGATAGTGGGATGTGGTCTATAACAGGCCTACGATAGTGGGATGTGGTCTATAACAGGCCTACGATAGTGGGATGTGGTCTATAACAGGCCTACGATAGTGGGATGTGGTCTATAACAGGCCTACGATAGTGGGATGTGGTCTATAACAGGCCTACGATAGTGGGATGTGGTCTATAACAGGCCTACGATAGTGGGATGTGGTCTATAACAGGCCTACGATAGTGGGATGTGGTCTATAACAGGCCTACGATAGTGGGATGTGGTCTATAACAGGCCTACGATAGTGGGATGTGGTCTATAACAGGCCTACGATAGTGGGATGTGGTCTATAACAGGCCTACGATAGTGGGATGTGGTCTATAACAGGCCTACGATAGTGGGATGTGGTCTATAACAGGCCTACGATAGTGGGATGTGGTCTATAACAGGCCTACGATAGTGGGATGTGGTCTATAATAGGACCATGATAGTGTGGTTTGGTCTATAACAAGACTATGATAGTGTGGTGTGGTCTATAACAGGACTATTATAGTCTGGTGTGGTCTATAATAGGAGTATTATATAATAGTGTGGTGTGGTCTATAACAGGCCTACGATAGTGTGATGTGGTCTATAACAGGACTATTATAGTGTGGTGTGGTCTATAATAGGACTGTGATAGTGTGGTGTGGTCTATAACAGGACTAATATAGTGTTGTGTGGTCTATAATAGGACTATTATAGTGTGGTGTGGTCTATAAAATTTATTGTGACGTCATTTACACGAACTGGAGTTGTAAAACGGCTGTACGGTTTAAGGTGGTCGTACAATTCCGCGGTGCCTGTTCAGAGACCAGGATATGAATCGGACGTTTCGTCATACGCCTTACGTGACAACAAAATTTCCGTGTGCTAAATTTGAAAATGCGTTATCACTGTACTGTGCAGTCAGGACACCGATAAAGCAGACCTATCTTTGAGAGTGTGTTTGACAGTGTACACAGTGTACACATACCTTAGATCAACTCTCCGAGTGGCGTTTAGTTCAGGATGTTAAATACTTAAGTTGAGTGTTATGTTGATTGTGTTAAACATACGGCCTGTTGAGTGTTAAGTTGACTGTGTTAAACATACGGCTGGTTGAGTGTAAGGTTAATTGTGTTAAACAATTGGCTGGTCGAGTGTTTTCAAGGTATATGATTTATAAAGGTCTAAGAGAGATTTTGATCAAGGAGAAACAAGGCGTATCAAGTAGAAAGTGTAAAGCTACTTAAAGTTTAACCTACAGTATCGACCAGGTGTTCAACCGACAGTATCAACCAGGTGTTCAACCGACAGTACCGACCAGGTGTTCAACCGACAGTATCGACCAGGTGTTCAACCGACAGTATCAACCAGGAGTTCAACCGACAGTATCAAACAGGTGTTGAACCTGCCTTATGAAACAGGTGTTTAACCTGCAGTAGAAACTCGGTGTTAAACATAAGGCGAACATAACAAGTAGGATACAGCAAAATACAAAAAATATGGGTAGGTTCTATAAGTGGTTTATAATCAAGTTATTATTAAGATAACATAAGGTTCTATAAGTGGTTTATAATCAAGTTATTATTAAGATAACATAAGGTTCTATAAGTGGTTTATAATCAAGTTATTATTAAGATAACATAAGGTTAAATAAGTTTATTGATCCAAAGGAATGGAACTTTGCATGTTTTTTTATCGTAAAAATATTTAATTCCTTAATATTAATTTCGCTTTTGTTCGTGGTTGGCTGGCTGCCTGGCTGGGTGGTTGGCTGGCTGGCTGGTTGGCTGGCCAAATTTTCGGGAGGCTAAATCTCCAGCTTACGCCTCCTACCAACCCTGAAACTTGGCACATTAACTAGCTTCCTATGGAAACACATTCTGTCAAAATTTGAGCGCAAACCCAAAAAATCAATGTATCCACTTTATCCCTTACGTCACTTAATGGATGGGTGCATTTGATATAAGAGAATAACATAGTCTCAAAGTCACAAAGGGCTACAAGTCACAATCTGCTACAAGTCACAAAGTGACACACGGCACACTTTCAGGCAATAATAAATTTCCATTTTTGATTAAATTGTTAACAAGTTGTATAATCATTATAAGGTTCTTAAATGTCACAAACAATATGCTTTTGTCTAGATTGATACAGACATCGTATAACGATAGGCGAGTGTTACAGTTAGAATCGGTGCAAGACACTGAATAATAAAATCATCATACAACTTCATACCGTCATTCGTCAATATGTAACTGATGATGTTGAGTTAGTTGTACGTCTTAAATAAACAATTTTAATCTCTCAGTAAGATTTCAATGGGTCATCCATCTGTTTTACTGGTAGAATATTATCGACTAAAAACGTGAGAAGAATGGATTAATTGCTTTCCTTGGGGATGCATGGTAGTTTCACTTTATTGTCCAGCAGAAAATGTCGAAGGTCAAGGGTTAAATAGTTATTTAATTTTTTTTTATATATCCCATTCACGTTTAAGGGCAGGGGGTGGGAGGTTGGGGGAGGGTGGAGGGGGGCTGCGTTCACTTCCAAGCAATAAGAGGTATTCACAGGGGACAGAACAACCTGGATCAAGACAAAAGCGATTAAAATATGTTTTTCTAATAAGGGCAATAGAGATAAAGTGCTGATTATAGGATAGGTCTAGATCAAACTTGGTACAGTTCTTTTTGAAAAAATCTCTATTGAGAACCTAAAACGTTTCGTAAAATCATACTATTGACCACTGTCACAGCCAGGGACACAACACACTTGACCACTGTCACAGCCAGGGACACAACACACTCATACTATTGACCACTGTCACAGCCAGGGACACAACACACTCATACTATTGACCACTGTCACAGCCAGGGACACAACACACTCATACTATTGACCACTGTCACAGCCATGGACACAACACACTCATACTATTGACCACTGTTACATCCAGGGACACAACACACTTATACTATTGACCACTGTCACAGCCAGGGACACTATTTCCATTGTCCTTATATACGCCATATCTCTTTCAATTAAAAATAGTTCCATAAACTTCTAGATTGTTCCACGAAGATATCAAGATACTGAAATGCAGATAGGAACTAAACGTTTATGGAACTTTTAGTTTAGTTTTAAAGAACTCTAAGCTTCACTGAGGATTTCCTCGATAACCCTGAACATAACTATTTTAAGGTTTTTTTTAAAATTCTCTAACTTCTTCTAGACTGTTTGATTTAGTATTATTATTTGTGATATTACAGTGGTCTTATATAGCGAGGTACCCCAGCCTATAGTGCAGTACCCCAGCATAGGATTCAGTGGTCTGATAAAGATTGTTACCCCAGCCAAGTGCTCAGTGGTCTTATATAGCGCAGTACCCTAGCATAGGGATCAGTGTTGCACAATTTTATTTCAAATGCAACGCTTAATTTACTTTTCTTCAAAAGCATTTAAAAATATTTATCAAAATAAAATTTATTTTTATCCGACCTACTCAATGCTGTAAAAATATTTAAGATTAAACTCTTTTGGCACCTGGTGGCCGTGGGTGGGGGGGGGGGGTTGGGGTGGACTGATAAACATTTATGAGGCAACACCCTATAAAATCCATCCTATTGTGAAGGACTACATTAATGTGAGCTTTATCTGAATGATTTAAATTTTACCGCAATAGGAGGATAACTAAAAGGGGCCACTTTGGAAGAGGGGGCCTATGTTGTTATATGTGGCACATCGCCATATCTTGGACACTTTTAATAAGAAATCTTTCTAAAGTTAAAGTTGTCTTTTTATCGTGGTTCTTGGCTGTGCTCAGCTTGAATATCAACTGGAACTGGTTCTGGTGGTTACAAGATTAATTTAAATCTGGCGATTTATTGGATAAAATTTTAACTTTTAATCGGTACTGCAGCGCAATGTTTTTGACAAGGGCCAACATCTCCGTGTACAAGGTAATCCGCTGTGGAAGTTGTTTTTGTTCCGAATACAGCACGGGTTTATTGGCTAGTGTCTAATTGAAACCTATTTGATGAAGAAGACAAGTTAATTAGATCCATCCATCCCTATGTCACTGATGCCTACGTGGGGCTTTGGCCTATCTCATCACATCCATCCCTGTGCCACTGCTGCCTACGTGGGGTTTGGCCTATCTCATCACATCCATCCCTGTGTCACCTCTGCCTACGTTGGGCTTTGGCCTACATCATCATATTGTTCCATCCATCCCTATGACACTAGTGCCTATGCGGTCCGTTATGTTCGTGAAACTTTCCTCTCCCGTGTGTTTTCTGTTGTTTTTTGTTAATGTCCAATTTAACTTGAGTACCTAACAACTGGTCTGATTACAGGTATTCATACAGTTTTCTTTGTTTTTCGTGTAATGTTTTTCTCTAGAGAATTTCTGACTACTGAAGTAAGCTCTGTTTTCGGTTGATATTCTTTCTTTCATTTCTCTTTTTTTTTTTAAATTAATTTATTTATTTTATTCATTAAGAATGCTTTTTTTAAAAATTGATTTACTTCTCCAAAAGTATGGTTTCTAATGTGAATGGTTTTCATTTCTCAGTTCTTCTCTTATCATAGTCATGTATTTTGTTTTTTGTTTGTTAACTTCCATGCGCTGCTTGTATTGATGCGTCTTCTAATTAAATCAAGTATTTTCATACATCTTTACTACTTTTCCCGTTCTATGTCTTCAGCATATGCAAGATACTTAAGGGGTTAATTGTAGAGAGTGTCCTATGGTTGCGGGTCTTGGGTTTCCCCCAGAAAGTATCCTGTTTTTGTTCCTCGGTTTTCGATGTGTATGTTTCTTATAACTCTCTCTAATTGTAGGTTCAATATCACACAAGATAGTAAGAATCCATGTCTTAGGCATCCTCTAATCTGAAATTCCCTTGAATATTCTCTTTGAACCTTGATTTTGCTTTTTGAGTTGTTTAATGTTACATGTATCAGTCTTGTCAGTTTGTTGAGTATGCCAAACTCCCACAGAGTCTCCTATAGACATTTTCTTTTGAAGCTGTCAATGGTCATTTTATACTCCACATTGAGCTGATGTACTTGTATATTATGTTCATAACATTTCTCTAGTAGGCATGCAACGGTGAATATCTGATCTGTGGTTGATCTGATATCCCTGAATCCACATAGGTTATCACCTAGTATTCATTAAAAGGACTCGTTGTGGAAATTAATACTTTTCCTCTTGTCCATCGTCGGCGTTAAGTATGGCCTCAAAATATTTAGCCCAACTCTCTAGTACTTTTTATTTTCCGTATTTAATTGTCCATCATTGCTCTCACACATTTGAGTTCTGTCTTGGATTCCATTCTTTTCGTCTTTTATCTTCTGATATTTCCTTCTCCTGATAAGTCTTCTATTTCTTTTAGTCTAGCTTTCCCCCCTCATTTTTGTACTTCCTACACATTTTCGTGGATTTCTCTGCTCAATCATTGAATATTTGTCTCGTCTTTCTGGTTTCACTTGTGACTTGGTCATTCGCGCCTTGTTCCGTTCTTTGACTGTCTCTCTGCATTCATTATCAAATCAGCCTACTCAGCGGTTAGTTTGCTGAAATCCAAATACTTTTATCTACTGATCATTTGTTTCATTTACGTAAGCCTTTGCGGTTATTTTGTCTTAGGTAAATTTTTGGTTATCACATCGTTTTGTCTTTGGATTCGGAAATTGTGAGTTATGCTTATTCCCCGCTTATATTTAGCCTTAAAAGTAGATTGTCAGAGTCTGCATCTGCTCCTAGATAGCTTCTTATGTCTAGTTTAACTGATCCATGCCTCTGATCCATTTCTCAATGGTAAAATTGGTTGTGGGTGATTCCATCTGAAGAGTTCCAAGTAATTTTATGTATATTTTAGAGTAGAAACTTGATTCTGCTACCTGTCATCCTTGTTCCTAAAGCAAAGTCTAGGATTAGGTTTTTCATGCAGACTCTCATTGCCAATAGCTGGCATAAACAGTTTTTCTTTCCTTAAAGTCACCTATCGCTTTTTTTAATATTATGTCGTGGTGCCTCAACGTAGATCTTTCCCAGCGTCTCCTAAAAGGATTATTTTTACCTTACCTTCTGTATCTTCGGTGGGAACATGAACATTTATAATTGTACTATTACCGGTAAACATTTTTTTCCTGGCACACGCAGAGAGCAATATCTTTTACTCTCTAGTTCAAAACCAATGACTTCACCGATGGCTACTTTTTTTGCACAAAAAATCCTGCTCGCATAGTGTTAGTGCCACTATAAAATATGGTGTAGTCATTTGTCCTGAGGATGTCTGCATTTTTACATAGAATTTATTGCAATGCAGAAATAGATATTATTCATTTATTAATTTCAACTATTATGTTGGGTATGGCTCCTGCTCTAAACAGGCTTAGTACATTCCAAGTCACAATCCAAAAATGAAGGGGCGATTTCCATTGGAATCAGTCCTGGCTTTATTCTGTTGTTTTGGCTTTCGTAACAGTCGAAATGCAGATCTTAATAATGTTGAGTGTTCATCTAACCTTGATGTCAGATGACTACTTGTTCGGATATTGTCTCTCACTTCGTCTCACGGACTAGTGCAACTGATACCATCCATTATTCCAATACACTAAACATTGAATATTTTGTTGCACGCTTCAAGTTTATTGCACAACTGCACAACATGGCAGAGTATGTATACTGTTCTCAAAATCCAATTCGTTACACAAATCAAAGTACTTCTCTAACAATACATCCAGCCGAAATCAGCAACAAAAAACAAGATATACCCTGAATATTCTCCAACTCCACTCTACGGCCACCAATCCACTAAGACATACCCTGAATATTCTCCAACTCCACACTACGGCCACCAATCCACTAAGATATACCCTGACTATCCTCCACCTCCACTCTACGGCCACCAATCCACTAAGATATACCCTGACTATCATCCACCTCCACTCTACGGCCACCAATCCACTAAGATATACCCTGAATATCCTCCACCTCCACCCTACATCCATCAATCCACTAAGATATACCCTGAATATCCTCCACCTCCACTCTACAGCCACCAATCCACTAATATATACCATGAATATCCTCCACCCTACAGCCACCAATCCACTAAGATATACCCTGAATATCCTCCACCTCCACCTCCACCCTACAGCCACCAATCCACCATAACAACAACCAAACTAACTCGTCATTTCCCCTTACCCAAAAACCTCATCTAACTCTCAACAAAGAAGACATACAGCTACACATATACTCTCTACATATAAAATCTTTTCCATATCATACGTAACAGCAGTGATTCTCATACCCTGAAAGTAACATTAATGTTTATTTTACATGGCAGGATTGTTAGCCCTGCGCACAACCATCTGGTGGCTGTCCGGGATGTTAGCCCTGGGCACAACCATTGTGGAGGCTGTCCCGTACAGCTGTCTTAGTCGTTGCCTTAATTTTCGGCTGCCCCATACAGCTGTCTTAGTCGTTGCCTTAATTTTCGGCTGCCGTTCCCTAGCCTTTGTGGATCCCTCCACTTTGGTGGCAGGTTCTGATCTTGGTCCGCCCAGGATATTGTATTTTTCCAGTATCTAGTGGACTTTCCCCTATCCACCACCTGGGCAGGCACTCGATACAAGACCAATACCACCGCACGAAAAGTTATTTAGATCACTTGAATTAAATATCGTAATGTCAACAGTTGCGTTATTTATATCACTGGAACCAAATTATGCGGTAATGCAACAGTTGAAATCATTAGAAAGTGTCTTATCTGATAAATACTGAACGTATCTCACAAGCAATCTTAACCATTTTCAAAAAAAAAAATGATCATCAGTTTACAAAATCTCGGTATTTTGGGGAAAAGCTGTGTGTTAAAGTAAATCAAAAAGTGTTGCAAAAGTGCCAGATTGCCATCCCTGTGTCATGTATCTGAAGAAAGTTATACCTGTACTTGTTTTTTGAATCTCCAACTATAAATATCCATGTGAGTGTAACAGACCATGTCTGCAATTTTGCACACGAAACCATTAAGTCAGGGAGGTGTCATGAGGTGAATAGCGAACTCTATTAACTTGCATTATTTCACGGGAAAAGAGAATGAACTATATTTTAGTACAGTGGAAGTGAGCCGCATGTTTCGGGTGATGAGGGCAGTATATCTTAAGCCGAAAGAAGATCAGACGTGGTTAACTTACTGTCAAGTGAATTATTTCCATCATGCTGTGGAGTATTATATATGTATGAGATAATTGCATTCTGAATTTGTTACTTGGATATCAATGCAAGACATATTATTATTATTATTGTTGTAGTAAGTGAAGTAATAAAGTACTTTGCAAATTATTCGTGAAAGTTATCATCTACTTCGTTGTGTGACAGGCCAGTCGAATTGAGGAGTGAAAGAAGTGAATTAGTTATTACTTGACCGAAGAGAAGCCGGCATCTTGAACTATCAATTAAGTCAATTAGTTAACCATGCTACTACCACAATAATTAGCATGTGTTACAGTGAGGAATTGGGGGGAATTTATACTCCTCCAAATTCTCCAGATAAACAAAATGGTAATAAATATGAGATTCAGGTTGCATTTTTTTTTTAATTTAAAGTAGAGGATGAATGTTTGTTGTATTGTTTTGTACCCATGACGTCACGGTTCGTCTCTCTCCCAGACTGGCTGCTTTTGACGGCCAATGGAGCGGGCGTCAGTGTCGACGTTCCCTGTGGGGGGGTCATCAACTTCGTGTGTCGATCGTCCGGTCACTACGGTGACCACATCGTGCTGTACAAAGGGAGCAATGCCGGTGGGGTCCTCGCCAGAAGCAAGCTCCCTTATGACCTCCATTACAAGGTCTCCGATGCCAGCAGCAGTGACACAGCTTCGTACACGTGTCATGACGAGTCTGGCTATGCCGTGGATGACAATGTGTATGTGTCAGTTGTCTCATGTAAGTGTTTTTGTGTCAACATCCACTGTAAATACCATCAAATGTAGGTAAAGTTCAGGAAGATTTTGAAATTAAACATTAAGAGCAACGCAACAGAGAATTAATCTTCATATATCAATCAATGTGGTGTAAATATGTGCGATTATCGATTATTAAATACATATATATATATATATAAACAGTTATATGTTATTGAGTTATTTGAAAACAAAACACGAACAAGCAAAACTATTTATTATTCTGTACGTCAAAACTTCTAGCTGTTTACAGGATTATGCAGAGATTCCCTAAGGCTAAACCCATAATCTTGTTGTAACGTATTACAGGTTTAGACACAGATGTCCCTAATCCAATAATCCTATGGTCGTGCCTGGCTGTGGTCATCCTGATCATCGCCATACTGGCCAGTTTAATCTCCTACTTCCGGATGATGAAGAAGTCAAGGGGGAGGTCAACGCGCGGCGCGGACCAGGCTTCGGCAACCAGCGGCACACACACCACGGTTAACCACAACAGAACCTCCGATCATTTCAGCTTGTCGCTACCCACTGTCTCCAGCGGTGACGTCAGACAGAGCAGGTGGAGTGCCGTATCGGGTAGATTGGCGGGTTCGCCCCCTTACCGCACACTTAGAGCCTATGACGTCGACCCACCGAGCTACGGGTCTGTTGTTCTTGAGGACGATTTCCCAGCTGTAGCAGCGGATGTGACGTCAGATTCGCATGCCCCGCCTCCGTATTCTTCCGTGCTGGCTGACCAATCACAACGGAGTCCAAACAGAAAAGCAGACCACTCGGGTACGGCATTAAGTCCTCAATTCAAACAGTAACAACACCTAAGGATTTAAACTATTCTTTAATTAAACATTTCCTGTTGTAAGGTTTCTCATTAATGTGAGAGGGACCTTGGTGAAGTCAATGAATATAATAGGGGCTGTTGGTGAAGTCAATGAATATAATAGGGGCTGTTGGTGAAGTCAATGAATATAATAGGGGCTGTTGGTGAAGTCAATGATTATAATAGGGGCTGTTGGTGAAGCCAGTGATAATAATAGGAGCTGTTGGTGAAGTCAGTGATAATAATAGGAGCTGTTGGTGAAGTCAGTGATAATAATAGGAGCTGTTGGTGAAGTCAATGATTATAATAGGAGCTGTTGGTGAAGTCAGTGATAATAATAGGAGCTGTTGGTGAAGTCAATGATTATAATAGGAGCTGTTGGTGAAGTCTGTGATGATAATAGGAGCTGTTGGTGAGGTCAGTGATAATAATAGGAGCTGTTGGTGAAGTCAATGATTATAATAGGAGCTGTTGGTGAAGTCAGTGATTATAATAGGAGCTGTTGGTGAAGTCAATGATTATAATATGATCTGTTGGTGAAGTCAGTGATAATAATAGGAGCTGTTGGTGAAGTCAATGATTATAATAGGAGCTGTTGGTGAAGTCAGTGATAATAATAAGAGCTGTTGGTGAAGTCAATGATTATAATAGGAGCTGTTGGTGAAGTCAGTGATTATAATAGGAGCTGTTGGTGAAGTCAGTGATTATAATAGGAGCTGTTGGTGAAGTCAATGATTATAATAGGAGCTGTTGGTGAAGTCAGTGATTATAATAGGAGCTGTTGGTGAAGTCAGTGATTATAATAGGAGCTGTTGGTGAAGTCAATGATTATAATAGGAGCTGTTGGTGAAGTCAGTGATAATAATAGGAGCTGTTGGTGAAGTCAATGATTATAATAGGAGCTGTTGGTGAAGTCAGTGATAATAATAGGAGCTGTTGGTGAAGTCAATGATTATAATAGGAGCTGTTGGTGAAGTCAATTATTATAATATGATCTGTTGGTGAAGTCAGTGATAATAATAGGAGCTGTTGGTGAAGTCTGTGATGATAATAGGAGCTGTTGGTGAGGTCAGTGATAATAATAGGAGCTGTTGGTGAAGTCAATGATTATATTAGGAGCTGTTGGTGAAGTCAGTGATTATAATAGGAGCTGTTGGTGAAGTCAATTATTATAATATGATCTGTTGGTGAAGTCAGTGATAATAATAAGAGCTGTTGGTGAAGTCAATGATTATAATAGGAGCTGTTGGTGAGGTCAATGATTTTATTAGGAGCTGTTGGTGAAGTCAGTGATTATAATAGGAGCTGTTGGTGAAGTCAATTATTATAATATGATCTGTTGGTGAAGTCAGTGATAATAATAAGAGCTGTTGGTGAAGTCAATGATTATAATAGGAGTTGTTGGTGAGGTCAATGATTATATTAGGAGCTGTTGGTGAAGTCAGTGATTATAATAGGAGCTGTTGGTGAAGTCAACTATTATAATATGATCTATTGGTGAAGTCAGTGATAATAATAAGAGCTGTTGGTGAAGTCAATGATTATAATAGGAGCTGTTGGTGAAGTCAGTGATTATAATAGGAGCTGTTGGTGAAGTCAATGATTATAATATGATCTGTTGGTGAAGTCAATGATTATAATAGGAGCTGTTGGTGAAGTCAATTATTATAACAGGAGCTGCAGATGTCTTAGGAGCCTGGTTTGTTTCACACATTCCCGCAGAAAAGTGGTTTTAATTGTGGAAAACAAAACAAAAATTAACAAAGACTTTTCTATTAAAGACGAGTTAGAATGCAATAAAAAGTACAACATAATGAACATTTGCTAAAATACAGTACGCACGAGAACATCTAAATAAGGTCTTAAAATGTCACGTTTAGTTAGACAGATTGCGCTCCGCTCCACAATATGCAGACTAAGTGTGAGTAAAGAGAAACTGTTTGAAAAAAAGCGTTTCTTTGAATGTCTAAAACAGACAGGTTTGCTCTGAATGTCTAAAACAGACTGGTTTACTCTGAATGTCTAAAACAGACTGTTTTGCCATCATTGCCCTCGGAGATTGAGTTGTCATCTCTTCCTAAAGATGTTTTAAACTAGCACATCTTACCCAGCGTTGCTCTTATCATCTTTCTCACTTATACATCCTTCATTTTAACTTCGAACAGACGAGGCAATGCTTGACCCCCCACCTGCCTACCCTGGACCCAATTAACCAGCAACCCTAAGTCTGACGTTCTCACATCTTCAGGTAGGTTTCAACGACGTTCTTGGTGGGTTCTGGCAAAATAACTTCCACAACAGCAGGGCTCACGGTTCCACGGACAGAACACCCTTAAGAATGTACCCTTTTCTTTCTTTGTTTAGTACAGATGTCATTTTGAGATTCATAATAACACGCTCAAGAACTTAGAGGTAGCCACTTTTGTAACAAAGCTAGAACCAGTATTAACATCATGACAATGTTTATTCATAAAATTATTTGTTAAGGAATTATTTTTTTTTTAAAATTAAAGATGATTTGAAATATGAAATCGGAATATAGTTGTACACGTTTTTAAACAAATTTAATGAAACAAACTTCAACTGAAATGTCACTGAATTATTAAAAGTTGTTTTTTAGTTGTATTTATTTTATTTATATATTTTTTAACTTTATTTCAGTGACATAATTATATGCCATCATTTACATAGAGCCAACATGACCTGATGTGACTAAATCAACGCAATATCGCAGAGCCAACATGACCTGATGTGACTAAATCAAAGCAACATCTTAGAATCAACACGACCTGTAATGACTAAATCATCTTAATCTAAGGCATATTATAATGAATGTATCCAGACATCATCCATGGACTGTAAGACATAATAGGAATCTTGTACAAATCAGTTGTCTGGTCCCCTGAGACGTCGTCGGGAGAGCTGTGTGAATGTCAGACGGACGGGTTGCTACTAGATATGTTACCCATAATTGGTTACGGTAGTATTGGTTTTGTTCCAGTGAAATATTGTTTGCTCCTAAAGTAGTTAATGATCTCATCAGCTCACATCACTGTCAGATGTCACCATCTCATGTGGCTGTCAGATAATGTCATCATCTCATATAGGCCTGTCATATATAATTTCATCATCTCATACGACTGTCAGATAATTTTATTATTCCATGGGAGTGTCAGATAATGTCATCACCTCAGGCGGCTGTCATTGGGTAAATGCCCTTAGAGTTGTTTATAGGTCAAATTCCATCAGCTATTACTTTGTTTAATCGAAGTGGCTTTTCGGACCCGGGTCCAAGAAGCTAGAGGTTGGGATAAAAAAAATATTATTGTTCGGTTGTAACACCAAACTTGGTATCAAATGAAAGATAATTAAATGAAGGCTGTGATAGTCGCTATCTTGCTGGTGTGCAAAGGAGGAGAATTCTATTGTTTTGGTGCACAGAAAGATCAGTCAATTAATTTGTGACTTAGACTAGAGCTGTTGTGGTCTAATCAAATCAGGCAAATGGTTCTTGTCATTTTAATTGCACGTCAACATATTGCCGGCTGCATTTCATCACAAACATTAAACCGAGGCACACACTAAAAAATGAACACCCAATAAAGTATGTAGAATGTAGGCGTGCAACAAGTATGTGTTTATTCTAGTGATGCATATACTTCTCATATACGTGTGATGACACATCTACACGATGTTTTAAGTTTTATAAATAATTATACTTACACCTTTTCATATAAATCTTTTATAAAATGTAATATTGAGCCATGGGAGTGGGGGGGGGGGGCCTGTACATTTGAAAAAAAAAATTCAAACCATCCCGGTAATAATTTTTTAAATTTTATAAATAATTATACTTACACCTGTTCATATAAATCTTTTATAAAATGTAATATTGAGCCATGGGAGTGGGGGGGGGGGGCCTGTACATTTGAAAAAAAAAATTCAAACCATCCCGGTAATATTTTGTACATATTACTTTTCACTCTTCCGATTAGAGTGTACATGAGCTATGACCATCCCATAAGCTTGATAAATTCTACAGCAGACGATTTTGTCACCTAACAACATCTATAAGAAATCTTAGGCATGCTGCAAGCTCTATATCATCAAGCTAGTTCAGTAGACGAATATATCTTGATCTGGAAGAAAAGCATTGCAGGGCCTACAACGACTTGTATTTTAACAAAACTACACATGTGGCACACATTGCAAAAGTGTTTCAACAACCTTTTGAAAATCAACTAGAAAGTCCATTATCAATTAAATTTACAGATTTTAAAACATGAACTTAAATTTATGGTGAAATTAACTTAAATCAGTGTCTCCAGATTACCCGGTACAGAAATATATGTGCAAAAACTATTGCAGATGTGTAAAAGAATGTCTCAGCCGAATTTAATATTCACCTATTGTGGAACACCAGGCCTGTTAACCATCAAATCCTTATAATCGCCAAATATATTATCTTAATGGTAAAAAAATTAAACATAAAGTATATATAATGTATACACCTCAAAATCGTATACTGTACGCCAAAATCATAAGATTAAACAAGTCCGGAACACATGCATTGCAACATAAAATGTATAATTTAAGTCTCATTAATGAATGCCTTTTTGTTGACTTTGTCCTAATGAATTTTTGTTGACTTTATCCAATAAAAAAATATTTTTATCATCGGGGATCTAATTTGATGGATAAAAAATAATTAAAACATGACATGACATTAGTTACAGATTCTGAAGAAAAAAGAAAGTTGCATTGAGGTTATGTTGACCTTTATGTGCCATTTGAGCCCAAGATGATCACATAAGGAAACTGTTGTTTGAGACGATCAATCTGTCTGCCCTTTAGGCAGCAGTTGTTGTGACGTGTCACAGATACCCAGCGGGAGAGCACACGGTGGGCAATCTTAGAGGCTTGCAAATAATGTTTTGGCTTTACTAAATATAGATTTAACATTGCATTATAATTTTTATCTAATTAATAGCTCCTCTGGGAGTTCATTGGAATGGCACTCATATTCCTTTTGTTGCTAATTGTAACATAATGATATTTGATGTACGCCTGCATAAACAGTTAAAGAAACACTATTTCGTATCAGAGTTAAGATACGTAATGATAGGTTTCTGAATTGTTAACATTATTTGCAATTTTTGTCTATATAATCTTCCCACGGTTATCATTATTATAATCTCCTGTCAATATATTCTTCTATCTGTGGAATATTTCACATATTTTGCATTTGTTGTATTGTATGTATACATATATTGTCTAAATATTTGTATTCACAGTGAGCTGTATGTAATTATATTATAAAAATTTATTAAAATATTCATTTTAAACTATTATATTAAAAATTCACAAATGAGTATGAGTAATTACAATTATAATGCATTATGAACTTTTTGGAAAAAGATATGTAACATAAAACATAAAACAGTGTTAACATAAAAAAAAAAATTGCATTGACATTGGACACTCATTAATTTTAAATAATTGACACACTTAATAAATTGCATCCACTAGACACAATATTAACTAATATAACTGCCAAAATGAACCAAATTATTACATTAAAAATAAGATGGCAGAATATCTCAAAATATTGAAGTTGAAGGCTGCTGGGTAACTTTGTATAAAAGAAGACAAAAGAGCTGGCTTTGTAATCAGAGAATTAGACATAGAGAAAAAGATAAAGAGATGAGGCACTTGCTGAAACAAATGCTCAGAATGAAACAAAAGAAAAGCAATTGTTACGAAAGATTGTCACATTTACTGGCAGGCACATTTACTGCTTTAGTGAAAATCCGATCTGTCCAGTAAGAAAAGCAAATTCACCAAATGCACCTGATGTTTGTCAGAAATTTTTTCAACAATGGATCAGAAATAAAGGAATATGAACACAATTAATGCAATAATGACAGGATAACAAAGCAGGGAATGCAAGGATATTGTAGAATCAGAAGTAATGATACCAGGGAAAAAATACAAAACAGGAATTGATAAAACTACTATCTCTAGACACAGAATTGCAGTCAATCGAAAACAAAATGAAAGATTTGGTTGTAAGATTTGGAGAACATTAATATTACATAGAAAATACTATGTTGATAAGAAAAATATGATGTCTATTTGAATGGATGGTAAGGCTATTTGGACTCATAGATTCAACGTATACATTTACAAGATTGATGAGAACTATGTTGGCAGGAATACCACATGTGGTAGGCCTACACTTGGTGGAGGACGTATGCGTTCATACTAAAGATCTCAATCTCAAAATTACATTGATTAAATTGAAATAAGATTATTTGAAAATTATGATGAAATTTCAGACATTATCATGCACTTTTAATGGAGGTGCAGTGAGTAATAAATCTGAAAAATTATGCTGGATTTTTTCTTTTCAAAATGCTTATTTTCTCATTTAATCTGTCAAGCACACTTAACACTTTTCGCTTCTTACTCATTACTTTATTTAAAGTGTCACCATCACTGTCTTCATTTCCTGTTGCATGACTGTCGTCATCTTCCTCTCTTTTAATGTCTTCATTTCTTTTCTTTAAATCTGGTTTAGTTTGTTAGGCTTTCCGTGGGAGGGGGGGGGGGAGAGAGGATGGGGAAAAAATCCTTCAAGAATTTTAAACGTTGAGGAGTTCGAGGTTTGGCCTTGACCTCTTTTACTATATTCCCGACTGTGTTTTCAGTCCTCTGACCACTTATTTTCCAGCGGGGGTTATAAATGGCAGCATTGCCTTTTACAAATTGGATCAATAGGGTTGGTGGCCATCCCATGATGGACACTTTAAAAAACAAGTGTCCTTTCAGGAGTTCTCCATTTTCCCCAAGTTTTAATGACATTTTTAATGACATTTTTAATGACATTTTTAATGACATTTTAATGACCTTTTAATGATATTTTTAATGACATTTTTAATGACATTTTTAATGACATTTTAAATGACAATTTTAATGACATTTTTAATGACAATTTTAATGACATTTTTAATGACATTTTTAATGACAATTTTAATGACATTTTTAATGACTTTTTTAATGACATTTTAATGACATTTTAATGACTTTTTAATAACATTTTTAATGACATGTTTAATGACAATTTTCATAACATTTTTAATGACTTTTTAATGACATTTTAATCACATTTTTAATTACATTTTTAATGACATTTTTCATGACATTTTAATGACATTTTTAATTACATTTTTAATGACATTTTCAATGACAAATTTAATGACATTTTTAATGACTTTTTAATGACATTTTTAATGACATTTTTGTGACATTTTTTATGACAATTTTAATGACATTTTCAATGATAATTTTAATGAGATTTTTAATGACATTTTTAATGACATTTTTAATGACATTTTAAATGACATTTTTAATGAAATTTTAATGAGTTTTTAATGACATTTTTAATGACATTTTTAATGATATTTTTAATAACATTTTAAATAACATTTTTAATGACATGTTTAATGACATTTTCAGGACATTTTTATGACAATTTTAATGACATTTTTAATGACATTTTCAGGACATATTTAATGACATTTTATTGACAATTTTAATGACATTTTAATGACATTTTTAATGACAATTTTAATGACATTTTTAATAACA